GTAGTTCTTGTAGACAGAAGGACCCCTGTTTCTGTCATTACCATCTGGCCACCTATTATGCTTCTCAGCCTTGCTTCCTGAATATACCCCTCTCCAGTATTCCCTGCAAATTTGGCAGAATGAAAAGACAAATCAAAGTGAATCTATCCATACTGACTTTCCATCAGGGAGTACTTTCATGATTCCCCACAGAGTAGGAAAGCAAAGGTTTTAGAGACATTATTATGATAAATATGTTTATTATTACAGCTAAGATGTATTATTACCAGGCTCCAGCCACTGTTCTATTCACTTTATGTAGATTATCTCATTTAATCTTCTTGATCCCCTGGGTAGGGTCACATTAGTGTCCACATTTTTCAGATAAAGAAATGAGACATGAATAATTTGGCCAATATCCCTCAACAAGAAACAGCAGATCCAAGCCTACAATCTCTCTGCAGAACTGCCTCTGAATAAATATGCAGGCTTTTCCCATCCCTCCTATCCTTGGTCCAGACAGGCTCAGGCATAGGCAGAAAAGGGAAGAAAGACTAGCGCAGTTTGACAGGACAAAGGATGAGAGAGACACAGCCTATCTGTGTTGAGGGCTGTCAGATGATAGAAAACCCAGGAACAGAGGCAGCCATCTGGGCAGCTGCAGGTATCCAGGGAAGGCCTATGAGGCAGCAGACTCTCCCCCAGACTACACGGCTCCAAGTATCATGGTTCTGGGTATTGTCAAGGACCAGGCAAAGTGGCAAGTTGTCAGGGATTCAGGAATGGCTCCAACACCAGCATCGGTAGATGGAAGGATGAATGGACAGAGAGAGAGATGGTACCAGACTGCTATATCAAATGCTTGGCCACTTATGAGGAGGGGGACACATAGATGTCATGGGCTGGTGCACTATTACCAGGCACCAGACCCCCCGGCAGAGGGTAGGACAAGGCAGCTGATAAACCACTTGCCCTGGTCAGAGTGTTCTCTAAACTTGGACTAGGCTGAACTTCTAGACAGGTGCATGGATAAATCAAGCCAAGGAAGGGTTAGCTAATGTGAGGTTCCACCTTCTTGCCCCTTCTCAATTCTGCACTCTCTGTAGGGCTTCCAATAACCTGCCTGGTCTTACAAATCATCATTACTGACATCATTCGCATTTATTGAGCATTAACTTTGTGGCAGGCATGGTCTGAAATGTCTTATTTTTCTTTCCATTAGACTATGACAATAGATATACACAGTCATATGTTGTTTTGGGTTCTCAGATTGCAAATAACTAACCCATCACCTTGCTCCACTCTCTCCCCTTACCATAGAATCCATGAAGGCCACCTCTTTCAGACAAAGCAGGTAAAATCATCATCATCATCATCATCATCATCATCATCATCATCATCATCCAATCTCCTTTGCACTTAAAAAAAAGTGAGAAATGGATTTTATGGTGTTAAGCCACTAAGTATTCAAGATTAATTTGTTACTGCAGCTTCTCCTAACTAATACACTTCTATTGTATAGGTTTGTTGGAAGAATTAAATTATGCATGCAAGTATTTATAATCCTGCCTGATATGTAGTAAGCACTCCATAAATGTCATCTGCTGTTATTATCATTGCTAGATGACTGAATATTGATGCTAATCCCCAGCAGGCTTGAGGCCTGACCAACACTGGCATTTATTGCCCCAGCATGTATATCCATTTGGCTCCTGTTTATAACAGCACAGAGCTGGAGCTGGACTGCTTCATATTTACAAAAGGTTTTATTGCTTTCTTTAAGAATTATATAACAACCTCAGACTCTCAGAGTTGAAAAGGATCTTAAAGGTCACCCTGCCTATCCTCCACCTGGGGCTTAACTCTCCACATTCCTACCAAGGGCTTCTTTAGCCTAATCTGAACACCCAAGGGGTGCACCGGAAAGCTTTACTGCTGGAAAGTTTTGCCTTATGATTTTCTGAGTCTATCTCAGCAGCCCAGCTCTGGCCAATATATCTGCCTAGTGCATCCATCTTTTGTTCATCCGCTAGCCACAAAATAACATGGGCCATCAGTCAATTAATTTGGTAAGCAGGTACTGAACCGCTGTCAGCCTCACTGCTACGTGACCTCAGGAATAATTACTTTGAGTTTTCAATACGCCGTCTACGAAATGGGAGTAGTGATAGCACCTAATTCACAGAGTTATTAGATCAAGAAAGATGAATAGGGCTTTGCCTTTATACAGAGCCTGGCATACAGAGAGAGCCCAATAAATATGAGCTTATTAGTTTTCATTGCTACTGTTGTGGTTGCAGAGTATTAGAAAATACAGAAGTTGAGCAAGTATTTACAAGTCTGATATGTGCTGCAAAAGAGAAAGGCCAGGATGCTACAGGAACACTGGATGGATTTGTATTGGATTTAAGTGTTTCACATCAAGTGACCTCTTTTCCAGTGTGAGGAGATGCAGTTGGTTATGAGGAGACTGTCAGAAAGGCCTGGGAAATCAAGATGAGAAAAGCACAGTAGAGAAGTTACTGAGTCCTCCTTGAAAGTCTCCAAACAGATAATAGCGGGGAGCTACTTGTGGGAGTGACATCAGAACAGAGGTGGTCACATTGGGACCAGGAGAGCAAGGGGCAGCTCTGGATGCAGAGCAAAGGGTGACCCAGGAACAGGATGCAATGATGCCTGAGACCCACTTTTATGTGGCATGGAGCAGTCCCAGAAACTTAAAGGAATTGGGTAGGTAAGCACAGTGGATAGAAAGCAGACAGGCAGAGATGCTTCGCATCACCTTGAGCCTCCTGACCTTGTCCCTCCTCCAGCACAAGCAAGGGGGACCAGGCCTCCTGGGTGCTATTTGCACACAGCTTCTGAACCACCCCTCTCCATCATGTTGAAGAGGTGGGTGGAGGTAGGGACCAAAGGAGTAGCTGCTGGTGCTCAGTCCCACCCCCCGGCCATTGTGACCCAGCCTCACCATGCTGTTAGACCCACCAAATGGGGCTCATGGAGCAGGAAATGATGGGCCCGTTTGCTGCTGTTGTTTTATGGATCTCTTGCATTTTCCTTCTGAGAAGAGCCTAGGACAAAGGCTGCCTGTTCCCTGTTTATTTTCTTGGCCTGCTGGTTCATTGATCGCCCCTCACATGCCCAGGCTGCAGCTGAGATGTGACCAGAAATGCAGGGAGCCCTGGGGTGAGTGATAGAAGTTCCTCAGAGGGCATCTACCACCCCCCGCTTAATTTCCAATAAAATAGAAAGACCGCCCTCTCTGGGAAATGGCAAAGAATCCTGATAACCCCTCTTTAAAATGTTTGGGTTTTTTTGTGTTTGTTTTCTGTTTGGGATTTTGTTTTCATGATCAAGAAAGAACAATTCCCATCAAGAGCTGAATCATGAGTGGAAGTTCCCTGACCTGCCAGAAGCCTCTAAGGACATTGGAAGGAGAAGGAATATTGGTGAACTGAGAAGTCTACCCATTGGGCTCCAAGAACTACAAACTGGCACCCCTTTCCAATTGGCCACTGTCCAGCATTTAGGCACAGGATAAGTCTCCATGAGCCTGTTACATGACAGACACTGGCAGTCCCCATCTAGTAACCAGCATAGCTTGTGCCTTCACCGACTGGCTGGAGTCCTGGGAAAAGCCACTACTTGAGTTTGATTCCCAGCTTCACGAAGCACATCTTTGTGACCTTCAGCAAGCCACTGTACCTTTCTGAGTCTCAGTTTTCTCATCTGTAAAGTGGAGTCAATAACAAGGATCTAATAGGATTCCAGGGAACATTAAGTAAGATGCACATATATAAAAGGCCTAAGTGCCAGGCCCACTTTAAGAACTCCAAATGAGCAGCTATTTATAGCTCCAGCTATCATGAACCTGAGGCTGGCTATAAAAGACTTGTCCCTTCCAAAGGTCAGAAGGGACCCAGGTGTGTGTCACTCACCGGAGTATGATTACTCAGCTCCCAAAATTCTAGAGAATACCCCTTAGGAGGATGACAGTTTTGCCTTTCCATGTTATAAGTTCCTTAGACTTATGATTCTCTGTCAAAATCACTTCGTGTTCCCTTTATCAGTATAGCCTCAAAGCCTGATAAACATCTCCAAAGAGGTGACCATCTGGCAGGTGGTACCCTTGCTTCTAGAAGGAGCAGAGAGCGTAGGGAGTAAACCATTGTGGGGTGTGTGTGTGTGTGTGTGTGTGTGCATCTGAGCTCTTTTGCATATTCTGAAAGATTCAGCAGAGAGGGTATGCAGCATCTCAGCTGACATTTGCAAACAGCTAAAATGAGAGGTGCCACATTCACCAGCAAGGTCAGAGGACTCGTGCCTGCTAACCCAGAGAGGTGGGAATTGCAGGCAGCAAACAAAAAATCACACTGCTACTTGGAAAGCTGCCAACTGCTACAATCAGAGTGAAAATAAATGGAAAAGTAAGTCAGGTGTGAATCAGCTGCTCTGGCACCGTGGGGAGGTATGGAACGCTGTTGTCAGCCCCTCTTCTCATCCTCCTGAGCCCCCCTCCTGCCCAGGCAGAATTCTCAGATACGGTTGCTGCCCAGGATTCTGCTGGTGTCCAGCCATCCCAACCCCCCACCCCTGCTTCTCCTTCCTTCTTTCATCCACTAGGGCACAATCCTGGCTTCTCCTCTCTGATTTGTATTCCCTAGGGGACTCCCGGTTTCTCAGGTGTACCTCCTCCCCCCCACACTCCCTCCAGCCTAACTAGGGATACTCATCAATCTAGAACAGAGGTCTCTCTCTGCCCCCAGTTTCCCGTGGCTCACAGGCCACCTTTTCTTGGATACTCTCAGATGAGCCATTCATCCACCAGTTTATGCCAACAAATATCCGATGAGTACCAACCTTATGCCAGGCACTGAGTGAGATGCTAAAGATAAAGAAGTGACACAAACCAATGGCATTCAGTCAAAAAGAAAGAAAATTTATAGTAAAAATTTTTAAATTGAGATTGTGGTGTTTTTGTCAGCTTTTTCATTGTGGCAACCAAAGACCTGACAGAACAATCAGAGGAGGAAAAGTTTATTTGGGGCTCACAGTTTCAGAGGTCTCAGGTTGACTCCATTTCTTGGGGCTTGAGGTGAGGCAGAACACCATGGCAAGAGTGTGAAGCGGAGAAAGTAGCTCAAGACATCACACCAGGAAGCAGAGAGAGAGAGAGAGACTCTGCTCTCCAGGGACAAAATACATACCCTAAAGTCACACCTTCAATGACCCATCTGCTCAAGCCACCTGCTACCTGCCTATGGTTACCACCCAGTTAATCCCTATCAGAGGATTGATTCACTGGTTGGGTTAAGGCTCTCCTAACCCATTAATTCACCTCTAAGCCTTCTTGCATTGTGTCACCCATGAGCTCTTAGGGGACACCTAATATCTAAACCATAACATGTAGAAAGCAAGAAGCATATAACACAGCCTAAAGTGAACAAAATTGAAGATGAAGGAGGAAAAAAATTGATTTCTTATAACTCAAGAACACTCTGCATCAGTAGTGTTGAAGCCAAGAACTGACAGGTGAGCAGGAATCGGGGTGGTGAGATCACTCCAAAAAATGGAGCATGAGGAAAGCTCTCAGCAACTTCTTTACAAAATAATTTGTCTAGGTGGGGGACGTGAAATGGAAGGTCTCCATTTGGTTGGTTATCAAGCAGAGGTAAAAGCAGACAGATAGTAGCACTGTGAAAAAAGGATCCATCAGCCAGATATCCAAATAATTATCTAAATTGTCCCAACCCTGACATTTATCACCAGCCCTTCCCTTGGAGGTACATAAGTAGAGAAATAATAAGAAGAAAGTTATTTTGTAATTACCCAGCATGAATTATGACTCTGAGAGGCTATTTCCAGGGGTACTTTAGGGTAATTTAGTTCGACATCACTGGAGTTCAATTTAGCACGACATTATCAGTGCAGTGAAACTCTAGAGCCAGGATTCTCATTGTGGCATTCCTACTGCCTGGCTGTGGACCCTGGGCTCACTGCCCCTCACTGCCGTCTCTGTGTAATGGGAGTGACAATTCCTGCTTTGCCTGCTTCTCGGAAGAGTGGAGAGAATTAAGGCAATCAGTGCAAAAATGCTTTGCAAACTGTCAAGAACGGTTCACAGGAGGGATCAGTCTTCATGCCTATCACTGAAGTTGAAGGATTTCTCTTGGTGGCACCTGACAAAAGAAAGCATAACTGAAACTGGCTTAAGGGGGAAGTTTTACTCAATAAGAAAAAAAAAGTCTAGTATTGATTAGCTTTAGGTACTATTTGATTTAGCAGCTCACGTGGTACCATCTGTACCCCCAACCCTCACTTTTTTTTCCTAGTACCCAGGCGTGCTTAACCACCGAGTAATATCCCCAGCCCTTTTTATATTTTATTTAGAGACAGGGTCTTGCTTAGTTCCCTAGGACCTCGATTAGTTGCTGAGGATGGCTTTGAACTTGCGATCCTCCTGCCTCAGCAGCCCGAGCCACTGAGATTACAGGCGTGCGCCACTGCACCAAACGCCATCTCTCACTGTCCTGCTGCCCATACTGGCTTCCTTCATAGGCTAATGTGGTGGCTGCCAGCAGCTTCTAGACCTGTACCATCCCGGGTTCAAACCCAGCAGGAAAGTGAGACTATTTATCCCTCAACATTTCAAGGAAGGTCCTGAACCAGAGTCTTACCAGCTGTCATCAAATTATGTGACCATCTGTGTCCAGAGGATGAGCCACATCTGGGTCACACCCTCAGCCCTTGAGTCCATGGGCTGAAAGTTGGAGGAGGCGGGGGTTGAGGGGGATGGATCTCTAAAGAAGCCAAGAAAAAGGATGAAAGCAAGTTGGACAACGAAAACAGCAGATGTCCAATCCACCCCCGTATCCTAAATCCCTCCACGGACGACTCCTAGGTCAGTGCTCCGGGACTCGGGATCAGCAGTAACTGAAGGCAGATGTCATTACCGACTCAAGAGTGATGCACAGCCCTGCTCAAGAATGAAGCCTGGAAGAACCTCGAGCCCACATACAGAGCATTTCATCTTTCCTTTCAGATCCAGCCTGCTTCTTCCCATGAGGACCTGGACTGTGAGTTCCATCCATTTCTACACATCTGGAGTCTGTCCATCAGCCAGCAGTTCCAAGGCTTTTCTGTCCCCAACTTCTCTCACGCTTCATATCTTTTGCTCTTACTTTCCCCTTAGGTATCCTATAAAAGATGTGGGGGACACAAAGTGTGATGAATGCTTGGGTTATTTGGGAGACAGGGGTCAGGGTGATGGGGAGAACTTCACAGAGAAAAATTAAACGGACCCTCAAGGAATTATTAGGAATTTGACAGAACAAGAGCCAAAGAAAGCCATTCCAGACTCGAATCCTTGCATCCCAAACCATTTTGATCTCTCTTTTGAAGAAAGAAAACTCTTTTCTCACCTCAGAAGTTACAAACCAGTGGCCCACAGACAGATCAGGCTGGCAGATGTGTTACACTTGGCCCACACAGCGTTTTGAAGAATTCCAGTTACTTGCCAACATTTAAAAATGGTGAGATTTTTACATAAGGATCTGGGTCTCCAGCTGCTCTGGAGAACAGGAGCTTTGGCAACTCTGGACCTGAGCTCCCAATGGGACAACAATTGCCGGCATGGAGTAGCCACTGCCCTCTGAAGACAGCAGAGGGCCACGTGTCCTGTGGACCTTGTTCCTTGGTCTCCTGTGTTACCTGCCTGGCTCCTGTTGGCATCTGAGCTTGTAAGCCTGTCACAACACAAACAACTGACCACTCATTCTTCAGCCCAATCCCATCACTGTTATGTATTACATTATGTTCTGCTGTCATATTTTTGTATTATATTAAAATATATTATTACTTAACAGTCTAATATATTTCCATTACCTCCTTACTTAGGAATCCCTAAGGATTATCCAAAGCAACAGAACCAAGTCTAAATATCCAGGGCACTCTAGGTTGACCTCACTCACCCCCTCTCTTCCATCTACCAACTCCAGGTTCCCAAACCCTCTTCACTCAAAGTGCGCCATTGCCTAACCCCCTTCCTGCCCACGACAGCATGTTCTTAATACACATCTGCAAGTTCTGAACATCCTCCCATTACTCTCAAACTTCCCTCCATCTGCAAAGTGCAGCTCAGAGGTCAGGCCCTCTGCATCGACCACCCTGACTCTTCTCCATAAAACCGTCCCTCCCTCCCCAGACCTCCCGCGGGTGGCACCCCATCCCTGCCTCATTTCTGCACCTGCCGTGTCTCCCTCTAATTATCTGTTTATGTGGCTTCCTCCTCCACACCCACCCCAGGCTGAGATCCTTGAAAGCAGAAACCGTGACTGATTCATCTTTGTATATTCAGTGCCTTTCTGTATACCTTGGCAGATATCAGACAGTCAATAAATTCTTGTTAAATGAATTAAGAAAGGAACAAACACACAGGGAACAAAATTGGCATGTGTTCATGAAATGTCACACCTCGGCAATTGTAATGAAAGAAACCCTCCCGTTGACGTTGACACTTTTCTGTCTCCAAGGAGTTGTTCCCCCTCTCTGTATCTCTATAGAAAGTTTATAATAGATCCTAAGTGAGTTATGAGAGGACAGTCATTAAGGGGAGGTCATGCTCCTTCGGTGTAGACAGGCAGAGAATTAAGAGTCAGCCTCGGTGTTGGTCTCTGAAATGTCTAGACCTTAGCAGCTACAGGTACCAATTCCAGTAAAGCTGCAAGTCCAGTCTGGGCAGAGAGTGTCAGATAAGAGAGATCTAGGATAAGTTATTCCTGCTCACTTAGCTCCAGTTCAGTCAGTGCACTTGCTATTACTTGAAGATCCCTAACTCCCTCCTACCTCAGGGCATTTGCACTTTCTATTCCCTCTGCCTAGAATCCCCTTCCCCTGTGTATTTATAGGACACACTTAGTCCTAAGATCACATTAATCTTAATAGAAAAGACTACCCTGAAAACCAAGGCAAAGCTGTGAAAGTGTGCCCTGCACCTTGCCACTCTCTACTTTTCTCTATGCTTAAAGGAGGAGCTATAGCAATAAAGTCATTAGAGACCAGAGAGAGCCAGGACTCTCTCCCCTCTCCTCTCCATCTCCTGTCTTTGTTTTTGCTTAGTTCCATTCTCTTCCACCCAGACAGGGAAGGAAGGAGGAGCCATGACTCACATCCTTTTCACTGGTAACTTAAAGAAGGACCTTCCCCCATGAGAACGTGCAAAGAGAGACGGTCCAATTGGTCTAACTGAGCCACCTGGGAAGTGCGTTCTTAGTGGTCATGTCTGGCTGGGTCCCGCCCCAGGACTGGCTCTAATGAGGCCTTTTGCATTTGATTCATCCTCATCTATCTCTGTGATCTGAGCAAGAAAGGCTCGTGTGACCAGGCATGGGTCACATGCAGACTTGGAGCACACCCCATCAGAAACAAATGGTTAAGAATAAGAGTGGAAAATCAGGATGCAATCTGTCTCTGAGAGAGGGAAAGCAAACGGGTCCCGGGAAAACCACATATTAGACAACCGACTAGAGCTTCAGGGAACTCAGAGCACTTGCTTCCATTCTTTATTTATCCCACTGAATTTTAACATCGGTTCTTGTAAATGACTAAGAGTCATATTCAAAATATCCAACTAGCATGGTGTGGTCTCCAGCCAGGCAGAGGGACCCCCGCTGCAAACCATGGAGAAGACCACCTTGGTCAACAGCGGAACAATAGCCTGATTGTACCTGTCCTTCAGGTGACACTACTGAAGCCAAGGGAGATGTTTAGATGAGTGCCCAGTCCCGTGGTGAGTTGGTAAAAGGACTTATGAGGCCTGGCACCAACTCTCAGCCTCTTTACGGTGTCCCAAACCACCTCGGTGTCCTCACCATCAAAGGGGTAAAGTGAGGGAACCAGAGAAGAGTTGCTATTATGATCCTGGCCACTTGGAGCAAGAAGCCAGGATGCTATAGTGTGCTATAGTGTGCAAAGAAGTCAACTCCTTCCGTTCTGCTTAGCCTGAGCCGCAAAAACCTGGAAAGCAGTGCCTGCCAGACGGCAGGATAGGGAGCAGCCAATGGGAAGGGGAGCTTGCAGCCAGCATGACAGATACCAGAAGGGCTGCAGCTATTCTGGGATCCAGGCAGTAGCTGCTCCATCACCCCGGCCCTTCTAGATCCTACTTCTCTGTGGTAGTGGGGAGACCTCCACCCTCTCTCCAGCTCTCTATTGATGTAATGTCTGGGACCTGAGACTTCTGAGCCAAGCAGTCAGACCAAAGGGAATCATCCCATTAAAGAACAGAAAAGGATTAAATATCATGTCAAAACATGGCAAATGCTTAGTCATTGTCCTTATTGGAACTCCACAGTCAACCCAACCATGCATAACCCATCTGGTCCAAATGTCCCATGTTACTAGATAAAGAAACTAAAGACCTGGAAGGGGATGTGACTTGCCCCAAGATCCGACAGAGAATTTAAAGGAGAGTCAAGTGCCGCCCGATTTCTCAGTCCAGGACCCCTACCCTGGGCTGCCCAGCATTGGGAGGTGTTGATTCTCATTCTTAGGGCCGCCATCCTTCAACCTCATGGGGCCGGTTGAGCTTGGTCCTCCCTGGATGGATCAATTCTTCACCTTCACCCGTGTTGCCCCCATAAAGGCCACACTATAACTGCAGGTGTGGCTTCCTGCTGCAGCCACACTGAGGACAGCACAGTGCATCCTTGGGCAGATGCTCTCCTCTGGATTCAGAACCTGGGGCAGCCCAAAGACCCCAGCCCTCCCCCTCCTCCAGTCCACAATGGGCTGGCCCCTCTCCGCTCTCCAGGCCAAAAGTGTCTCTCAGGCAAAGACATCTTAGCCCCAGAGTCCCTCCCTGAGAGAAAAACCAAATAAAAGAATGGGCAAGAAGTCAACTCCTTCCGTTCTGCTCCTAACAGGTCCCAACCTCCCTTCCACTGTTCCCAGCTTCTCTGCCTAGGTGGACAGCAGGGAGTGTTTTGTGCAGCTCCACCTTGCCCTCCCTGCAAGAGGTTTGTGGTTAAGAGCCACATAGACCAGTCAGAATCTGGCTCTGCCATTAACAAAGTAGGAGACCTGGAAATACCCTACCTCACCTGCCTGTTTTTGTGACTGTAAAATATGGGGTAAGATGGGGCTTGAATGACATAAAGGATTTGGCTCCATGCCTAAGGTACAGTAAGCACCGGTGGCTTTCAGTGGTGGGACAATAGCAATGCCCACACAACATGGGGCAAAAGAGGACATCACTGTAGCCACCCGCCCCCCACCCCGCTGTATTCTCTGCTCCTCTCAGCCCCAGTCAGGTGTTTTCCCTAATTGCTTTCATATCCCCACCCCCATCCCCACTGTCTCTCTCTCTCTCTCTCTCCCTCCCTCCTGGGGATCTAACCCAGAAACACTTTACCACTGAGCCACAAGCCCAGCACTTTTTTTTTTTTTTTTTGAGACAGGGTCTCATCAAGTTGCCAAGGCTGGCCTTGAACTTGCAATCCTCCTGCCTTAGCTTCCTGAGTCACTAGAATGACAGGCATGCACCACCACACCCAGCTTATTGCAGAAATTTTAAAAGATGGCACAGGTTAAACACTGAACACAAGGTAAATGTTTGATGAGTGACAGTCATAAGCTTTTCCACCAGCTACCTATTTCCTTCAGCAAATTGCCCAATTTATCTGGAGCTCAGTGGCTTTTTTTTATAAAATTGTGATTTAAAAACAAAGGAAAAAGAAACATCATCCTCTGCGGGGCTGCCCTAAGAATAAGACAAAATATTCCACGTGCAGTACTTAACCTCATGTCTGGCTCCAAAAGGAGCTCAATAAATATTAGCTATGCATCAACTTCGCAGGGGCAGGGAGCCAGAAAGTGACAGCTACAGCTCCAACCAAGAGCTTGTGGTTCCGATCCAGCAATGCCTGGCAAGAGAGATAATGAGAGGAAAGGAACAAATCAGCAATGGTGGCCTCACAGCCACAGGCAGGAACAAGTCACCCCACATGGGACTGCTTTTCTGTACCTAATCTAAGAGATAGACAGTGCACCTTTATCTATGTGAACAGGTAAGAGAGAGAGAGAGAGAAGGTTCACAGAGGTGCGTATGACCTCATTTAGTGCCAGGGTGTTTCCAGGCAAAGTTCCGATTGGCAAGACTTATTGAAATTCCTCCTATAAATAGGTCCCACTTCCCAACC